CACACACACACACACACACACACACACACACCCTGCAGGTGTGAGTTGTACAGATTTTTTGCAAAATTTACGGACGTGACGCGAGTATTAGGAAGCTGCTGCTCACTAGGGTCTTGCCAGCAAGTGAAACAAACACCTCCACACTGCACGTGGGCGGTTCTTAAAGGTGAAGTCTCTGTGGCTAACACAGGTGATCAGAATACATAGTTAGAGTTGGAGGTGGAAAACAGGTGAAAAAAATTAATCTAAATTTGTTTGATGCAACCCCAGGTTGTTACAAGGTGACTGGATGCACTGGATTTTAGTTAGAGGTATCAGAGTTAAGTGTGCTGAAAAACAAATGTACGTCACACTTTTTTGATCTTATTTGCAAAACTGTTGAAAATCACTGATCATTTTTCTTCCATTTCACAATTATATGTCACTTTGGGTTGGTTTATCAAATACAATTCCAGTAAAATACTTTGAAGTTGGTCATTATATCATGACATGTGGAAAATTTAAAGAGGAATGAAAGTCTTTTTCAAGGATCTCTAAAGTTGTAAAGATATTAAATATTTTGTGCTGTATCACCTGGTTTTGTTTATGACATTGTCGAATTTTGCATCTGTGTCTTTTGCAGCCAAACCTTGAAATTAATCATCATGCTGACAAGTCTCTGGACAGTTTCTGTAAGTGGCAGAAGTCCATCCTGTCTCATCACAGCAGTGGAAACAGTATTCCAGAGAGTGGGATGGCTCATCATGACAATGCTGTCTTGATCACCCGGTAAATGTTGGCACACACTTTCAGTTATGGAGCGTGTTGTATACACACGCCAATACAGGCTGTATCAGAAAAAATGATACTCTCAGAAAAATCGCCATAAAATTAACAGATAATTGAAAATGTGGATGTAATCTTTGGTAGAGGGGATCATTCTGCTTCCAATGACACCAGCTGCATAATTCCTGGACATAAAACCTGTCAGCACCTGTGCAGGTGTCTCTCTTCCTGCCTCAGCCTGTGTGATGTAAAATGACCCGACCACAGCTCACCGCTCAGCAGAGGTCTTTCCTGGTTACTGAATACCTCCAAATGAAAAGTGTTCACACTTGTCCTTGAGTGATTCCAACATGAGTTTCCAAATGTTAGGGTTCTCATGCTTCTCCAGCATGTTGCTGTTTGAAGAGGGTTCTGACTGCTTCAATGTTGGCTGGTGTGCGTTGGGTCCTTTGTTGGCCGGACCTCCCCTTGTTGAGATTGTGGCTGGTCCCAGAAGCACGGTACTTGTCAACGTTGTGGAAAACAGTGAGACGGCTCGGAACAATTGTTGCAATTGCCTGCATAAGATAAGGTGATGTTTGTGATCATGTTGTTTTAATAAAAGAAAGTGACCACATGATCTTGTACCAGGTTATGGAATAATTACATTAATACCCACTGAATACATGTATGTACAGTGCATTCATTACATGTACATGTAATGTTAGATGGATGGATTGACTTGTCCACGGCCACTTCACGTGTGTTTGTTAACCCTTGGTTTTGATCGACTCAATAATGAGAAATTTTTGTTTCGACGTTAGGACATGAAAGGGTTAATTATTTAAAAACACCTTGGCATGTGTGTAAAACACCATCTAAACTTTTAATTTGATGTGACAGATCGTATTTTAACCCTCACATTTCCTTGCTCAAAGGACATGAATTTAGTGAATTTCCAACAGTTCCTGCTCACTGGAGTGTGAAGCGTTAAGATTTTGGTGTCATTCGAAGCAGAATGATCCCTCTACCAAAGGTTACGCCCACATTTTCTAAATTATTATTATTCATTCATTTCATTCATTTATTTATTTCTGTAGTGCTTTACACAACCACAGTGCTGGTGACCAAAGTGCTCCACAGAGTCAGTGATTAAAATGACAACGAGTAAAAACAAGAAAACACAACGAAATAACAAAACTAAAACCAGAAATGTCACCACATATTAAGTACTAAAAGCCTGTTGGAATAAAAAGGTCTTAAGCTTTGATTTAAAAGGGCCAAGTTCAGTGGCCAAACGTAGATCAAGAGGGAGTTGATTCCAGAGATGAGGTGCAGCTGCAGAAAATGTACGGTCACCCCAACGTTTATATTTTATCCTTGGAACAGAAAGCAGGAGCTGTCTGACCTCAGAGACATGGAGCGGGTGGGGAAACTTAACAACTCTGTTATATAAGGAGGAGCAAGTCCATTCAGAGCTTTAAAAACAAACAATAAAAGTTTAAAATCTATTCTAAAACAGACAGGAAGCCAATGTAATGAGGATGAAACAGGTGTGACGTGGTCCCGTCTAGGAGTATTGGTTAAAAGGCGAGCTGCTGCATTCTGAACAAGCTGGAGGCGACCCAGTGATGACTGAGGTACACCAACATACAGAGCGTTACGAGAATCAAGTCTTGAAGTGATAAAAGCATGAACAGCCTTCTCCACATCACAACGGTTTAAAAAGGGTTTGACCTTTTTTAAAAGTAGATGATCAAATCCAGACCGGACAACAGAAGCAATTTGTTTGTCAAAATTTAAAGCCTTATCGAAGGTTTTTCACACAGTCACTGAAGTTAATATTCAAACTTCCTAGGCCAGTTGCAGCTTTGTCACCAAATAAAATTCATTCTGTTTTACTGTCATTTAAAAACAGGAAGTTCTTGTTTAGCCAATGTTTGATTTCAGAGATGCAGTTGAAGAGAGAAAGCAATGGACTACTAGATCCTGGCCTTAATGGTAGATAAATTTGCAAATCATCGGCATGAAAATTAAATTTGACATTATGACGGCTTATAATAGATCCAAGTGGCAACATGTAGAAGGAGAAGAGCAGAGGGCCCAAAATGGAACCTTGGAGCACCCCACACAGAAGAGGGGCTGTAGAGGAAGAGCAGCCATTGAGCAAGATAGAGAAGGTTCTGTCAGAAAAATAAGATGTGAACCACTTCAAGGCTGTGCCACGAATCCCAACAAAGTCATGGAGGCGAGACAAAAGAACAGAGTGGTCCACAGTATCAAAGGCTGCTGTAAGGTCAAGAAGCACCAGAGCTACTGGACACCCACAATCAACTGACTGAGCTGTCATTATGAACTCTCAGTAATGCAGATTCAGTGCAATGCTGAGATCTAAAACCAGATTGAAATTTATCCAAAAATGTGTTTTCTTCCAAAAAAGACTGAACTTGCATAAGCACTATTTTTTCTAACACTTTGGAAAGAAATGGTAAATTAGAAATGTTTCTAAAATTAGATAAAACCAAGGGATCAAGATTAGTTTTTTTGAGAAGAGGACAGAGCGTTGCATGTTTAAAAGCAGAAGGCATAATTCCAAGGATCAGACATGAATTAAAAAAAGAACAAGGTGAGGACCAACAATATTAAAAACCTCTTTCAATAATTTAGTAGGGAGAAAATCAGAGAGGCAGTTTGTGGTTTTAATGGATTTAACTATTTTGTTGTATTATCTATGTTAATTTTATTTATTATTTATTTTTCTGAGAGTATCATTTTTTTCTGTTGCACCCTGTCTAATGATCCACTGTTATATTCATTGCAATTTTCTCATTTTGTTCAAATTGTTATTTTATTTAATTTATTTATGTTTTTTCTGCATGTGTTTTGCCTTCAGCAACTGCCAGCAGCTCAAACACTGGAAGCTCAAACTGTCCAGTTCTTGTGCACGTACAATTTAGCAGTGTTTGAATCAGTTCTGAAAATAAATTGTGCAGTTACAGACACACTGTACCTGTCAGCTTGCAATTTATGTCAAGGTTGTTACCATAAAACTAATCGTTGTCATTACTTAGAGTAGATTTCTTGTTGCCTGAAGTGTTTTGGTCACGTAACGTAGCAACTAAGAGATACACATTCTGTAGAGAAATACAGCACAGCCTTCTGTGATTGACTTGAGCTAAAGTCAAGATTTGTGACTTTTACAACAAAACAGTCTATTGTTGGTCAAGACCCTGTCACTTATGAGGTTTTAGAGAACTTATGGAATTTTTAAAAATCAACTGGAAGCTTCTTTTAGGCATGCCCTTACTGTAATTCTAACAAATTGATTAATATACAACTTTTATTAACAAATTTAGATTTAAAAATGCTTTATAAGTTGTCATGAGTTGTGTAGTGTGACAGGACCTTTAGTTGTTTGTTGACTGTCACCTGATCTTCATCTTTATGTTCTCGTTTGTTTTGTTTTCTACATTCAGTGGAAACATGGTTTTATTTTTTTATGGCCCACCATCAAAGGTGAAACAGCCTTCATGTCTGTGTGTGTCTGTGTGTTCATTTGTCTGTGATGTTAGCTAAATACAGTATGTCATGAACCACTGGATTGACTTCAGTTAAATTCTTACAGAGTATTTCCTGAATGTTCAGCTACAATTGATTCATTTTTGGAGTCAGTTCATTTCATGATTCCTGCTGTAGCCAGCTGACATTATACCACACTGGCTCAAATAAATTCAGATTTATAGATATTAAACCAAATGGGTGTGGTAGTGTTTGGTGCAGTTGTGGCTGAGTCCTCCTCCAATGAGAGAGTTGAGGGTTTGATTCCTCTGCTGTTCTGTCACATGTTGAAGTGTCCTTGGTAAAGACACTGAACCCCCACTGCCTCTGATGTGTGTCCCACCATCAGGTATGAGTGTAATTTAAAGCAGAGATTCTTAACCTGTGGGCCGTGAGCGCCACCTTCAGGGCCTCAAAAGAACAACAGTTTTTAACTTTGGGCCACAGAGGGCCGTGAGACCGCATTGATTTTGAATAAGGTGCAATACACTTTCTCACCACTAGTAGCAGTAGTCCAAATGTTTAACAACTTTTTAACGTGTAAAAGATATTAAAGATAGATCTACAAGAATGATCTGATCTTCTTCTTTATGTTCTCGTTTGTTTTGTTTTCTACATTCAGTGGAAACATGGTTTTATTTTTTNATTAAAGATAGATCTACAAGAATGATCTGATCTTCTTCTTTATGTTCTCGTTTGTTTTGTTTTCTACATTCAGTGGAAACATGGTTTTATTTTTTATGGCCCACCATCAAAGGTGAAACAGCCTTCATGTCTGTGTGTGTCATTCTCAGCCGGTTTCTAAGCAGAACCTTAGAAACCTGACGAGAATGGAAACTTATTTTAAATGAAAAATAGAAGCAAAAATGAAAGTAACTCATCAAAAAGACCAAAGTTTATCACTAATATGAAGAGCAGCTTCTGTTTTTACCATGCAATATTTTTAAAGTTAAAAACATTATTAAATACAGTTGCAGATATAACTATAATTTAATTTGCACTTAAAATTAATTTTTGTAGTTTATTTTTAAACATTTTGAATGTATTTTAAAGAAAAATTTAAACTTGTCAAAAAGCTGTTGTTACTGCTTTTGTTTGTCACTAATATGAAAAGCAGCTGGTTGCAAAAGTTTTAAAAGGCTATATT